GGAGGATACTTATCCCAGGGTTTGCAAATAGAGAAAGGAAACGTTCTTCATCGGACAGCAGCAGTGTGCAGACATCCCTCTGCAACAGCGTTGTGCTGCGTGCCGTCTGCACCTTGTTAGACCCTTGCGGTAATTAACGGGAGCAGAAGGAGCATTAATGTTGATTGTACAGTAAAGTGCCTTATTAGCCACCGAATTTCAGTCTCAATGTGAGCAACATTTCCATGCAACCTGCAGCCAATCTGTACGGAGAGCGAGTCAAATGCCTGGACAGTGGCAGCATGGATGCCCAGCCTAGGAAAAAGATGACATTCTGATGTTAAAATTAGACTTTTCCTCTTTCTACATGCCTGTCTAGAGGTTACATCGTAATGCAGGGAGGGAGGAGAGAATTTCTGGGAAATGTGTTGTTTCAAAGGGGGAATTATCTCAAACCAGCCTCAGGTGCCATTGTGTAGTCAAAGCTGATTATGTTCAGAGTGCTGCTAACAGTGAAAATTATCTGCCATAGATTCAGCATAGAAAGTAGATTCACGTGTAAGTAAAAATGGTGTTGCAGTAAGTGTAAAAGCAAGCAAAACCCCCCAAAGGCCCAGTTCAGTGTCCTTTTCTTATGCTGGTGCTGTTAAGGCAGTTTTTCAGAGAGCAAGTTCTCCCATAAGACTTACAAAACAAAAGCAAGTTTATGTCAGAAACAAGGCCTGGAAGTCTGAGCCATGGATGTCATTTATTCAGATTGCAGGAAAGGAAACACACACATCGAGGGTGGTGTCAGAAAGAAAAATAGTATGTTTTTTTTTAAAAAAAAACCAGTACTTTTAAAACAGTCTCTTTTGTTCAGCAAAAGAAAGCACCTTACCAGAAGATTGAGGGGAAAGTGTTTTCTGCTTGAATGACTATATTGGAACAACTCAAGTTGGCAGCTATAACTGATATTTTATGTTGAGGAATATAAATCCATACCTTCTATGGAAGACATGAACATTTCTGTTCAGTTTCATAACTGTGGTTTTCATATGTATGGTAATAGCTACACGAAAAAGAAGAAAACAGTGAACTGTATTGATTTGTGAAAGAACACTCAGGCTGGTTTCCACTAAGGAATAGTCTTGAAATAAAATAACACAACCACACCATCGGTTCCGGGTTGCTGAGCCTTGTACAGTTGGCAAGCGTGAGCTGAAGATACAAAAATTACAAGACCCAGGCACACTCAGGCAAATATTCAATTGTATGAAGTGTACAAAACTTGGGACTTGACAACAAAGGACACGAATGAACACCCAGAAGACCACCTTACCCCTTCTTCTGCTGAGAAATAATTTTCCAGAGAATGCCTGCCCCCAGGAGAAGCAGGGCTCCTGCAGCTGCGGCTCCTGAGAGAGGAGAGCGCGTGTTATTCTCACGGTGTGTTTTGAAGCACATCAGTGCAAAAGACATAACGGTGCGTGTCTTCAAAGCAGGCAGAGGGATTTTTTACTGGTGCCACTGCATGAAGTTAAAGATCTGGCCACAAACACGTCTCTGAGCTGCTTACCTAGGCCCACTGAACCAGACTTGGGTGATGCTGAAGGGAAGAGAAAAAGAAAAATCAGCAAACTATTCTATCGAAATTCAGTGTCTCAGCTGCAGTTAATCGCTTCACCCGTAAAGCTGTTACTGCTAAGGCCTACAATACAGGATTTCTTAAAACCCACACCATTATCTACTGTGGGGGTTTTAGTACAGAAAAGCACTTGCATGTTTAAAATGCATCTGCATGTTTGTGTTTGGTCTTTGCCTCATTCACATTCCACTCACTCAGTTTACAGGCTGGTACAGGGGGGTCCCAGCTGAAGTCCTCTTGGCACTGAATCTGACTGATGCCTTCCAACGTGTAACCATCATCACATTCAAGAGTGATGTTAGTCCCAGAGCGATAAGTATTTCCTTTTATGTCTTTCTTAACACCTTGAACTTCTGGGAGTACACATCTGATCTCTGAAATTAGAAATAACAAAAAAAATAAGGACATTTAGTGAGAGGGAACATAAAATACAAGAAATACAACTGTGGGTTATTTAAGTCATTGTTCTTGAATTCTTTCTGAATGTGACCAGAAATTAATTCTTATTCCACAGGATAATTTGTGGCTTTTTGGCTGCAGAAGAGGGTAGGTGTCTCACTCCCACATGTGAATATTTGTAGAGATCAGCCACTCCACACTGATAGGGCAGACGGAAAACCGTGTGCAGTAGGGCTACCTTGGGAGAAGCCTGCCAGAGAAAGAGATTTTTCTGATACTGGGCTACCAAAACATTTGGAGAAGAAAGGTGTAGCAGGGAAGAATTCTGTGGGAGCTCTAGAGACAACTGCCTATACCCCACTTCTAGTCTGTAGAAGTCCTTTGCCCTTAAAAGATGTCACCAGCCGTATTGTTTATCAATAATTATTAATTAGTCCAGCCATCTAAGCTACTTATACCACTGATTTCAGTGAAGTGAGTTGGTTGTTTCAGTTTAAGCATCTAATCACCTTTGACAATCCAAGCCCAAGAATTCTGGAGAAGGTTCTCAGTGAAGACCAAAGGAGTAAAGTCAACATGTAACTTTTATCCTTTGTTTTACGGCTTTTTTTAATGTTTATTTTTACATTCACGTGTAATAGTTGCTAAGGACGCTTCGAAACCACAAGAATGTGGAATGGCGCTGAGAATTTCTCTGTGAGAGTGCTTCCTTTAGAGAGCCTCTGACTTATTTGCATAAGCATTTGGTACGTTATTTCCTCTCACTGTTATCCTTATCCAAGCGCGTTTCAACTCTAGAGTCACTGGGGTGGGTGCGACTCCACCAAGGAAGCACCCCGCGTGGGTAATGAATGTATTCCAGTGAATGTCCAGCTTTCTGTGCAGGAACACCCACAACAGGAATCTTGTGACATTCATGGAATTGCCTTTAGTCACATTTTCCTGATGACTGACCTTCACAGTGGCACAGAAGTGCCAAGTCACACATACAGAGGCATTTTCCGAGAAGGTGATAGGCAGGCTCCCCCGTAACCTACAAACCGCCCATCAGAGAGGACAACTCTGATAGAATCACCTCCTCTGTTTCCTGTCAGTGATAACTGGGGAGTGAGACACACAAAAAGGGAACGACAGGGAAGGGGAAAAAGTTCCCACTCTTCTACTAAAGGTAAAAAGCATTTAATGCAGAAAAGTTGGTATACAACTCATTCGTAACAAGAGCAGAGATGGAAAACATACTCAAATTAAAACTGCCTTTCAGAATTGCCTCGGTTGTACTCATGTCCTTCTGACTGTTAGCGTGAGATTCCCATCCTGCTTCTTTACAGCAATATCATACTCTTCCCAGGGATAGCAAAGAGTAGATAATTCCATAATTGACAGATCAACACTGCCTGGCTATGCTATAAAAGTAGTTCCCAAGCAAAATCAGAGGATGGAATTCAGTGTTAGCTGCACGAGATTTTACTGTTTAGATTTTGTCCCATGAATCTCTCCGGAGATTTAAATTTTTCCCAAAGTAAAACATGTCTATCAGCATGGCTGCATGTCTCCTCAGCCCAGTTCTGCTTCCGCCGCCACCACAATTTCCAATCACCACGAGCAAACTAAGCACACACACACCTTTGCAGCGAGGAGGAGGCTGGCTCCAGGTTCCTGACACCGTGCAGTTGATGAAAGCATCCCCAACGAGTGAATAACCAGGATTGCAGCTGTAGGATACAGATGCTCCATAGGAAAAAGCCTCAGAGATGTTGCCTTTGAGCTTCCCGTTGGTAATGTTTGGAGGATGGAGACACTTCACAACTGCAAAGTCAGGGAGAGACAAACGAGTGTTGACATGAGGATCCTGGTGGACTGCCGGAGTGGCTAAGGCACCGTACCCTTACAGCCTTGAGTGTCCCCTTTTAAATTTCTTCAACAGGCCCAACAACTCGTTTTGTAACCCTGTGACTCCATCAGGCTTTGGAAATGGGTTTAATGCATTTAGAAAGTTGAGATTTCAGTGGAAAGAGCACAAACACACCTTCACACCGAGGAAGGGGACGGCTCCAGGCTCCGTAGCTTGTACAACGGACAGACTCACTCCCAACGAGGGAGAAGCCGTGTTTGCAGCGGTAGTGCACTAGTGCTCCTACATCAAAAGTGTCGGACAAATGACTGCTGTGGTCTCCGTTCGCAATGCTTGGAGGAGGCAGACACTTCACTGCTGAAAGAGGAGAGGGAGAGGGTGTGAAGGTGATGTTCAGTTGTAAAAAAGGTGATAACAAGAGAGGAAAAAAGTGCAATTAACCCTCTTCCCTGCAAAAAGCAGGACAGGTTGGGAGGAGGCGTTAGTGTTTAGTAAATCTTGCCTCTTCTTACAATAGACCTACCTGGCTTCGTTGTGGTATCAGGATGATGATAGTGTTCTGCCACTCCATCTAGATGCAGCATTAAGAGTTTAAAATACACATTTGGTTGAGGAAATACAATGCACAAATTTACTTTGATTTTCCATCACGCTGCTTTTACGTTTCCAGCAAAAATTTCACTCATCTCTGATAGTCAGTGTCCTGCCATGAAGCTACAAAATTTCTCACTTTCAGGAAATGAAAAGAATGTGGATTGTGTGTGAGGGTGAGAAAAGTGCAAATCATGCTTCTCCTTACAGCGTCACCCAAAACCTGGCTCATCTCCTGTGTAAGATGAGAGGCATAAATGAAAGGAACAATTCCTGGTTTCTCCTTCAAGTAGTTGGAGCAAACAGGAAAAATAAAGCCAACTTTGGCTTCGATGAGTGGGTAGGACTCTGCAGTGCTAACAAGTCAGAGTGCTGACACTTACCCTGCTCACAGACCGGTGCAGGTGGATCCCATGTTTTGTCGGCTTGGCACTGGGCTGTGTGATGGCCTCGCAAGGTGAAACCTTTATGGCACTTAAAGCTAACAGTATCTTTGTATGTGTAGTTGTATTTAAGAACAGAGAGTCTCCCATTCTGGATCTGTGGGACTGGACATACCACCTCTGAAAAATAAATTCATTATCTCAAAGAGGGAGCCATATGTATGCTGTCACTGATTAATATATAAAGTCCATCCTTAACGTGCCACTGCTCAGAGCAGTTTCACAGGTAGTACTTGGAGACTCACAGAAGAATAATTTCAAGAATTGAGGGCTTTTTAGTTCCTTTAGGTACCCTAGGGTTACTACATTACTGTATATGTAAACATAGTTCAGTGCCTATAAACAGAATAATGCAAATACATTCCAAGAAATATATTAAATGGTGTAGAAATCGTTAGTCATTCTCATGACTGCTTTACTGTACCGAGCTCATGCCTTCCAAAGCGATCCCATCTGAAGGAAAGATTTATTGCAATGATCATCCCCTGCAAAACAGCCTTGAGGTCTGGATAACAGTACAGTATTTGGGAGACCCCGCTTCAATTCTACTCAATCTCCCACTCTTCTACTGCAAGGCACATTTTTTCCTTAATTTATTATTTATGTTTGTGAAACAAAAGGGACAAATCCCTGCAGGCATCTCACAACTCTTCAGTCTACACGACTGTGAAAGGTGAAAAGCTAGCAGCTGGAAGGTTTTTAGAAGAAACCAAACAAGCAAGCAAGACAAAACAATCCTAGAGGAGTATTATGCTTAAAAAGTCTTATTCCTCTAGGTTCTGCTTATTTTACGGAAATGCCATTTTTTAATTTTAATGACTTAATTTGGCAATTCTGGGCCAGATCTAGTTGTGACCTACTTACTCTGACAAATGGGAAGAATGCCACTCCATGCAACATCTGGCCCAAAAGTCTCACATCGCCTATGAGACTGTCCAACCAGCTGGTGCCTGGAGTTACAGAGAAAGAATTATTAGTCGATACCAAGTCATTCGGCTTGGATTTTGCACTCCCACTCTGACGCTACCCCCAGAGGTTTCCTTCTGCAGCCTCCTGACTCTGGCTGGTCACCAAGGTCTTTCTGTTGGTTTGACACATGGGAGTGAAGGACACCAAGTTCCTTCTTCCCAGATCCAAGAGGAACAGCAATGATCCCAGATTGCTGAGGATTAGATTGATCAGGTGCTAAATCAGGACTCAAACCCATTTCCAAACCGCTGGAGCCTCCTCGCAGCACGTGCTCGCTTGCACTTCCAGGTCCTGCTGAGTGCCCATCTGAGAAAGCAGACTGAAAGTCCCGTTTGCAAAGTAATATATTGAGCACAGGCAGGGAAAAATGAGAGACGCTTCTCCCTTTCCTGAGCAGGCAACGATGGCGTAACTGGAATCAAAATACAAATTCTGGCTTGTGGTGGGAGAACGGCCACTCAGAGGAGTGGGCTCTGAGCCTTTACTGTAAGTTGCCCAATACCGAGCTCAGACATGGAGTCAGCAAAGGCCGTGTGGGACTCACCCTTCTTCACACGTGTGGCTCACGGTTGACCCAAAAAGGAGATCTGTCAGAACAACAACTCTGCCGTTCTTTGGTGTTTCTGGGTATTTACATTGCTTCCCTGGGAAAGAACAAGGCTGAGTTTAAACTCCTCTCTTGCAGTTTTGTAATGCACTACTATCTTAAGGATCTGTCCACGTTCAGACACCAATAAAGACGTGATTTTTAAAAGGCCAATAGCTGCCCAAAGTATGTGACTAGTGAAGCCATGTATGAATCACTATTTAAGAATTGCTTTAAGAAACCCACAACTGTAACTTAAACAATTTTCAACAACCAAGACAAAACTGATGGAGCTATTCACTTTTACAGAACGCTAGCACTTCAGACCACGTGTGGTTTTTGAGGCATGTCAGAGTTAGGGGTGCTCCGGGGTGTCTTATGTATCCTGGCCGGCAGCTGTATCGCACAGTGTCCCCAACAGGAAACTCTGTCAGATTTTTGTATTCCTCAGTTAGCTCAGCAGAGGTTAAGTTTGGAGGTGCACCACAGCCACCTATCAGGAAAGAAAACATGGGGAGAAATAGAGATATCAACTACACAAAGTTGTTTTAAAATGTATGTTGAGTATGCAGAGATAAAAGTTTACAAGCAAAACTGAAAAACAAAGGGGAAGGACTGGAGGATTCAGCTTTTTGGAAAGATTAAGGGAAAGGGCAAGTCCTACAGGCTTTCAGTGGCAGAAATTCCCTGACTGTCCAGAGCTCCTGTCTTGGAACCACAGTGTACCTGCACACTGAGGAAGAGGGAGGCTCCAGTTTCCAGAGTCGGTGCAGTAAATCGATGCCTCTCCCAGGAGGCGGTAGCCAGGGTCACAGCTGTAATTTACAACCATCCCAGTAGTGAAAACTTCCAAGTCTTGGCTGTTGTGATTTCCTTTGTCAATATTTGGAGGTGAAGGGCATTGCAGCACTAAAGAGAAGACACAACAAAATGAAAAAAGGGCAAGAACAGGGTAACATGCAGGAAAGATGCATACACAAAGCCACCGCAGTGAACACAACTCCTGCATGGGCTGGAAGCTCGCCTGGTGTCACTGGATGCCCAGTTTCCCCCCTCCCCACGCCAGTTCTGCGTGTTGGCAGCTTTGCCCGCTCCGGGATCAGCCGAGCACGGGACGGGTGCTCAGGCAGGCACGGGTGCATGGGGAGCCGCAGCAGCAGCCGGCCCCACCTGCGCAGCGTGGGTACGGGAGGCTCCAGTTCCCCGCGGCCGTGCAGGAGACAGAGGGGTCTCCGAGGAGGGCGAAGCCGGGCTGGCAGCTGTAGCTCACGGACATGCCGCTGGTGAAGTTTGCCTCGAGCTCCGCGCTGTGCGTGGCGTGGGCGATGGCGGGAGGTGGAGGACAAGGCAGCGCTAACAGGGCGGGAGAAGACAACAGCGTTTCAGTGGGTTTGCCCAGCGGAGGAGCACATGTGACACAACAAGACTGTCACACCTGAAGCGACGCGAGTGAGGCAGAGAGCAGGACCTCAGGGCCCCCCCGGCACAAGGACGGCCCGAAGCATCCTCCTTCTAAACCCCCATGGGCCCCACTCACCTGGCTCGCAGGTGGGGACAGCGGGCACCCAGCGGCCATCGGGATGGCACTTGGCTTCACGGCTGCCCCACAGCACGTAGCCCGGGCGGCACTGGAAGGTGACGTTGGCCCCGGGATGGTACACGGCGCTCTGTCCTTCAGCCACATCTCCGTTCTGGATCCTGGGGCTTGTGCAGGTGATCACTGGAAGTGAAAAGCAGCAGAGCATGGGCTGGGGAAGCAGCTGCCAGCGGTGGGGGTTTCCCCTTGGGTTTTGTGAGGTTAAAATTCAGGAAAGCTGTGTGAGCACCGTGGTCTCCCTTTTCACTACGGGTAAGAGCATTTAAAGCTCACCTTCACACCGGGGGTAAGGGATGCTCCAGGTTCCAGAGGTCAAACAAGAAACTGTTGTTTTCCCAGTGAGAACATACCCCGGGTCACAGTAGTACTTCACTGATGTTCCAGGGATGAACACTTTCACATCCTTGCTCTCATGCTGGCCGTTTTTGATATTTGGAGGGGAAGGACACTGTGGCACTGCAAGGAGCGGAAGAAGTCATAACGGGTGAAGAGCTGCTACCACAAACACCCACTGTAGTGTAAGGCAGCCTTTTAACTTCTTTCCCATTAACTTTTCCCAAATAATAGCTAGGTCTGTCACTCTTTGAAATTTGTTTCCATCCTACCCTCACTTATCTTCCAGTTTTCATGTTTTTCAAGCTTATTGACATCAAGAATGATCATTTCTTACTATTTAGACATTTACAGTGGTTAGTTTCCACCTGTGGCCCTAAGAGCTTGCTCTGGCCTTTCTGTGGTTGTCAGCGAGATCAGACACCAGCCTGGCTTGCTCACTCTTTGTGGGTTCTTTTTGAAGAGATGAAAGCCCTGCATAATACATAACAAGGGCCCGAATGGGGATTATGAAGATAGGACAGATATACGCATGTTTTTCCTTTCCAGTCCTGGAGAGGGGCCCCTTTACCTCCAGTGCAAGTGGTTGCACCCTGCCAGGTGCTCTCACACAGTGGTTCAGAAGAAATCAGCTACCACCCACCGCCTCTATTTACACTCACTTTTTTCACAGATGGGGACAGGAGGATCCCATGTGCCCCCAAACTTGCACTGAGACTCTTGAGAGCCCTTCAAGGCATAACCAAAATTGCATTCAAAGACAACGATATCCATGAGTCTGTACGTGGTCTCCAGCCCAGTTGCTCTTCCGTTCTCGATCTCTGGTCTTTTGCAGCCGGTTGCTGGAAGTGAAGAGCACAAGGCACTGCTGGGGACGTGAAGCCCATCCTG